TCGTCTTTACTTACTACGTCATGATCGGATGCATGTTGATTGATGAACATATTTTAAGCTTTAACTTAAGCAGTATCATGAAGTTAAGTTACGAACGACCGCTAACGCATCAATTTAAGTGCTTAATTTAAAATAAATTGTTTCATGAAATCGATGTGTTAAATTGTATTTGAATCTTCGTTCTTACTTTTAAAATATTTAGATATATTTTTTGTTAAATACCCAAAATTTAAAATTGAGAAAGTGGTCGACCATATCCTCTACAGCCGGGACAACGTTACCAGCAGGACCCTTGCACGTCATGTCGGTGTGGCAAAAACAACAAGGCGATCTGTAACACCGTCCAGTGTGGCTGGGCAAGCTGTGCCAACAATGCACAGCCCGTTTTCACACCGGGACACTGCTGCCCCGACTGTCCCAAGAACACTAAATGCTAGGCTCCAAAGGTCAGCTCTGTCGATAGTTTAGGCATTAGAGGAAAAAAGTGTATCCAAGTGCTTAATTAAGAAATATAAAACACAGAGTGGGTAAAAACAAAAAGACAAAAATAAAACTACAGAAAGATGCAACACAACAGCGGACGTTCGGCTCAGCGGCTCAACAACAACAACAACAAAAGACTTCAGTTAAAAAAAGAATAAAAGTAAATAAAAACGCAAACCGAAACGAATTTTAAACTCTTACAGTAAACAGGAAATCGTTTCAAAGAAAGCTTTAGTTATTTCCTGGAAAAGTGTTTCCTCTAGTGGCCAGCTTAGTAGAGCTTGGTTTGTTTTTTGTTTTTTTTTTTGTCGTTGCTGTTTTTATGTTCAATTACTTAGCAATTTCATAAAATGAAGCAGTCTGGGGGGTCCCCCTGGATTTCATATTATCCCACATGTTTTGATCGTATCATTGGCAGTTTAAAATAGTATTCTAATATCTTTAATTTTTTCAGTTCGGTTCAAAAGAGAGGGGGAAAAACATTATTTTAATGATATTTGTTTTATAGATTTCTAGAATTATATTTTAAAAATCTACCCGCGTAGATTAAAAAAAAAGGAAATAACTAAATTTTTCGGGAAAGTTTTTTAACTAGAAAAATTTGTTTGGATCTTAAAGGAATCTTGTGAGAACCTTGAACTCTTACTTTCATCATCAGGGTCTCAATAAATCATGAGGGCGTCATTGAGGCATCAAAGTCTTACTAAGTCATCATGGTCTCATTAAGTTATCAGGATTTCTTTGAAGACATCAGGGTCTCATTAAGTAATCAGGGTATCATAAAGTCATCAGAGTCTCATTAGGTCATCAAGGTCCCATTATGTCATCAGGGTCTCATTACGTCATAAAGGTCTCATTAAGTCATTAGGGTCTCATTAAATAATCACGGTCTCATTAAGTCCTCAGGGAACCATACAAGCATCAGGATCTCATTAAATCACCAGGCGCTCATTATTTCATTAGGGTCTTATTAGGTCATCAGGGTCTCATTAAGTCATCAGGACCTAATTAAGCAATCATGGTCTCATTAAATCATCATAATCTCATTAAATCATCATGTTCTCATTATGTCATTAGGGTCTCATTACGTCATCAGGGTCTCATTAAGTCATATATAACGAAGATGTTATTAGTGATGTTATTCCAGCGAATTCAATCAAATGTAGACTTCGGTGGACAGGAATACTAACGACCCATGATTCGGGTAACTTTTATTTTTATTGGAGGAGGATGAATCAACAAAATACGATTTTAGCGTCGTAAATCAATTTGCAAACGTTCTTGTCATCTCCAGGATTACAACCTTGACCTAATTACACATCCCCTGACAATGAGATGGACTACGCTTAACAACATGATAACGAAATGATCTTTTAGAGGAAAAAAAATACAATGACATTTTCTTTCCACTAAGAATTGATTTTTGTTTTTTAATAAAGGACCTGATATTATTATGGCTGTGTGGTTCTTATATTTTCTTTGTGTACTTGTGTGTGGGGTTTTCTCTCTAAACAAACATTTATAGAATGTGAATAGTGTTTTAAATTACAATAGTATCTTGACATAGGTGTCAAAATAACTAAGTATTATTCAGTGTTTACCGGAAATGTAGACTTCGAATGACATGGATGTTAGCTGCGCACGATTCTAGATTGTAAATAATTTAGCAATCGTTCTTGCCAACTTCAAGATCACAACCTCGGCGTCAAGTTTCACATCCCCTGACAGTTAGATGAACCACGGCAAACAACATATTAGCGAAATTTTATATTAGAGAGAAAAAAAGTACAATGGCATGTCGGGGGGGGGGGGGGCCCGGGGGGGGTCCCACAAAGTATTGCTTGTGTAAACGGGAAGAGATGTCTTTTAAAAATGAAGGACCTGATTTCATGATTTTTTTTATACTTCTTACATTTTCTGTGGGTATTTGTGTGTGTGTGTTTTGTCTTTTAAAACTGAAATGTCTACTGGCATGGGGGGCATAGCGTTTTAAGTTGTAATATCACCTTGGTGGGGTGTACAAATAATTATATATAACTTACTTAAAATGCATATTACAAAGACATAATGTATTTATTAGTATATATATATATATATATATATATGTATATAGCGATCTTCACATTTAGACAATAATTATGACCACGCGTGGAGTATTCCAAAGAGTGGAACTATATTAAAAGTGGACGCTATGAAAGTGAAGCCGAGTGCACAGTTTGATATAACTTTTTGAGTATTGGTCATGGTGGACGTTCAGGCATAAAAAAACACATGACATCAGTGAAACATAGGAGAAGACTGAGTGCCCAAAGTTTTTTTCTAGGTTAGATTTCATAGTTAAATGAGCATATTTCAATAAACAGTTTCCAGCGGAACCCCCCCCCCCCCCCCCTCTTCCGGTGGAGGGTATCCCCCCTCCCCTTCCTCCCCCCCCCCCCGCCTTAAAAAAAGTCCTTGAAAGTGTCCCCTTTTTCCAGTTCATGATTTGGTCACCTTAATATAGATAGATATGTGTGTGTATGCGTGTATGAATGTATTCGTTTGCTATTTATTAACAAATGTAAACAATGCGAGTATGGGCTTTTGAAATGTTTTCTCTAATTCTGAGGTCAAATTCAATTTAATCGAATTATTGACATTAGTGAGTGCGCCTATTCAGAAATCTGGGTACACTTTGCAACCCTGTGATCGTTGTAAACTTCCTGGCGTTTCGCACCATAGTCAGCCGTATGCGGACGTTCCACAAACCCTGGGGCGGTGGAAGGTAAGGCACGTGCTGAAAAGTGTGCCCCCAGGGGGAGGAGCAGGTGGTTGAAAATACGTGCATCCTTTCCGGACGTCCTTTATGAACAACAATTGATAACATAATGATAACATAATGATAACATAGCGATAACATAATGATAACATAATGATAAAACCTGACCATAAGCCAAACACAACCCTAAACATTCGGTTCTAAGAAATTGTCTAACCAACCACGCCCTCCCATTATTTGGGCGCACAAAGCGTATTACAATACATTAAAATGCTGTCAACATAAATAAATTGCTGTAGACAGCTGGAGGCAACTTCGCATGGGTTAGATAAGATATAAATTTGAATAAAAATAATTTAAAAGATATCAAACATCAAGATCGCAGAGACCAGCGCCTGTGCTCTTGGCGCAGACCGCCCTGAGAGATCAACCGTTTTCAGTTATCTTTTGTTCCATCAGTAATTTTAGGTAAATAAAATTATATTTTGTCTGTCTGGCTGTAACAAACGCTTTATAACAATTTTCCTCCCCAGAATTGTAAATAATAAGGCTAAATTAATTTGAGCATTCGTTTGAGGTTAAAGTTCAAATCACTATTTACTGGCATGAAGCTTCATGTGACCATTCAATTGTTTAGATTTTAAAGAATCAAAGAACTATTCGAAATGAAACCCTGTACCAAATATTATTATACAAGACATATTTTATGCTGCCCAAATCTGGAGTTGCCGTCCGATTTGTAGTTGGCAGCCGCTTTGTTTCTTTGTGTGATTATCATTTGACATGTGGAGCATTTACTGTGTCTCCAAGTAATCAGATTGCATATTCTTGTTTTCTATGTATTTAATCTTATACTTGGTTGCATATCCCACAATTGAAGGCGTTCTCTCTTATAATTAGTAAGAAGACAAACTTCGCTAGATGCAAGCTGAACATGTGCATTACACGTCATATTCGGGGGGATTTGCCCACAGCTGCATTGATGAAATGTGACTCTTTTTATGAGACGAAAATATGACGCTCATTATGAGATAAAAATATGACTCTTATTATGAGATAAAATATGACTCTTGTTATGAGATAAAAATATGAGGCTTATTATAAGATGAAAATATGAGGCTTATTATGAGATGAAAATATGAGGCTTATTATGAGATGAAAATATGAGGCTTATTATGAGATGAAAATATGAGGCTTATTATCAGAAGAAATACGACTCTTATTACGAAATTCACTATGAATCTTGTTACGAGATGAAATAAACTGTAGTTAGCGTAAATCGACATTTCGTATCTAAGATTTAGAACATATGTTCAAAACATGGACTAACATAGACAGTTGAAGAGATCATTATTTACAAAATACGACACATCATAGTCATATCAACTTGATCTTTACGACATATTAGTAATATCAACTTGATATTTACGTCATATCATAGTCATATCACCTTGATCTTTGCGACATATCAGTCAATTCAACTTGATCTTTACGCCATATCATATTAATTATCAACTTAATCTCTACGACATCTCAGTCATATCAACTTGATCTTTCTAGCTTTTGTTCATGACACACCAAACAGTATTGACTTACAGAGTTTCACGAGTAAGCAGCACATTAGGCTATTTGCAATGTTTGGCTGCATGTAATGTAACTGCGTTTAAAAAAAAAGGGGGGGGGGGTATTATCAACAAAACAAATAAATAATTCCCGAAAATCGAATGCACTAAATTAAAACTATTTGGAGAATTAGTCCCTATTTTGGCTGCATGTAATGTAACTGCGTTTAAAAAAAAAGGGGGGGGGGGTATTATCAACAAAACCAATAAATAATTCCCGAAAATCGAATGCACTAAATTAAAACTATTTGGAGAATTAGTCCCTATCATTGACCCTACCTAAGCCAACTTCAAGTGGGGTCAACTGAGTGTATCTGGCCCCATAACGCAACACCATTAGAGTCACTCGTTTTAACGGTCCTTGAAATAAGCAGTAGAAATAAAGCTATGAAAATAAAACACACAGTATGCCTCTTAAACGCTATGAGAAAGTCAAAGAATGTATCTCAATTTAAACTGGACGCTAGTTTGGAATGGGGTGTTCATCCCCCACACCCACCCACCCCACCCCACCCCACCCCCCCCCAAACCCCCCACCCCACAACTATGAAAGAAATCTTTTTCACCAATCAACAAAACAGGGAACCTGAAACAGCGCCCTTTTGTCTCTCCATTACATGGCTTTCCATTACATGCCTTTCCATTACATGCCTTTCCATTACATGCCTTTCCATTACATGCCTTTCCATTGCATGCCTTTCCATTGCATGCCTTTCCATTGTATGCCTTTCCATTACATGCCTTTCCATTACATGCATTTCCATTACATGGCTTTCCATTACATGGCTTTCCATTGTATGACTTTCCATTGCATGGCTTTCCAATTCATGTCCAGTCGCATAAAAGGATTTCCATTTCAGACTTCAAAATCTTCAAAATATCATTAGCATGAAATGAGGCGTTTGTAAATGACATGTTCACGTCGATCACCAAACATGCCACGAATTAATGCTACTATTCTCTCAATGAAAATCTTCATGTCCCGTGGGCAGAAAAAATGAGATCAAATGAAGCAGAACGAAGGCAACACTTCAGCACTCTATGGTATAAAGGGATAGTGCTGTGGTATAAAGGGATAGTGCTGTGGTATAAAGAGAAAGGTCTGTAGTATAAATGGATCATTCCGTGGCATAAATGGATAGCTGTATGGGATTAAGGGATAGGTATATGGTATGATGGAATTGTTCCGTGCTATATAGAGAGCATTCCATGGTATAAAAGGATTGTTTTATGGTATAAAGGGATTGTTTTATGTATTCCCTTCTTTTAACATAGAATGAAATCTATAGTCAAATCAGGTAAAAATGTTAAACCTTAGGGCCATTTCGTTGGTCCTGTTTTATGAAGGGTAAGTTAAGATAAATAGCTCTCAGGTATTAACAGAACAATTTGAAAAAGCTATAGATGGCTTTTAAATAAAAAAAGTATTTTACTAAAGCGGATAGACTTTTTGTTAGAAAATTAAACTGTATTTAAACACAACTGATTCAACTACGCATCAATGTAGGTAAATAAAAAACAAAAGAGTCGGATGCAACTTTTAAAATTAAAATTGTGTGTCTTTATTTTCCTCCGTTCACATCGTGACGTATTAAGGAGTATCATGTATGTTAAGTCTTCACATGAAAGTAACTCTCGCTTCAAAATTGTTAAACGCCATTTTTCCCCTCTTACTACATTTCAGAAACGACATCAAAATTGACCAAGTCACTCAGTGTTTCCAAGATGAATGTCCTGTTTTATGTGTCACTGCTGGTGTTGGTTACGTCAGACCTAACCAAGGGATGTTACTACAATGGCGTTACTTATAAGGTGGTTAATTTACACAATCCACGCCACTCATTGTATCGTGTTTTTGCACTATTTCGTTTTCCTTCACGGCCGCCATCTTTGTTGTCATGATTGGCAGACGTGTCACGACATGACAGATGGCGGCTGTTTATGTTCAATTTTTTTTTAAAGAAAACACAGTATGCCTCTTAAACGCTATGAGAAAGTCAAAGAATGTATCTCAATCTAAACTGGGCGGTAGTTTGTAATGGGGTGTTAACCCACCACCCCCCCCCACACACACACCAATCCCCCTCCTACTATGAAAGGAGTCTTTCACCAATCAACAAAAAATCGAAACTGAAATAGCGCCCTCGTGTCTCTCCATTAAATAGTTTTCCATTACATGAATTTCCATTACATGGCTTTCCATTACATGGCTTTCCAGCGATCCCTATGATTTTCAGCGATCACTATGATTTTCATCGGTCATTTTGATTTTCAATGGTCACTTTGATTTTCAGCCAGGTGACAAGTACAACATGGATCGTTGCACTTGGTGTATTTGTAACGATGACAATGCTCCACTGTGCAAGGCGGCCTTCTGTGGTATGCCGCGATGTAAGAACTATGCCCCAGCAGTTTTAAAGGAAGGAGAGTGTTGTCCTCGGTGCCCTGTAGGCAGGTTTGTTTGCAACCCTTGTCACATTTATAGCTCATTTGTATTACACATGTTGTGGTGACATGACAGTTATTACACTACCTTTCCTATGAATACACATTAAATATTTTATCAGACTTGTTTCCCCAAATGCATTGTTTCGAAACAAAATTTTATCTGAACCATAAGTTTTCTAGAAGTTTAAAACCACAGCTATTTTTTTAAACGGTTCGTACAAATCAATAATCTAATACTTCAGACATTCTTGAACTCTGGGCCCTGTACATGGTTACAGTCTTCTCTTACGGACATTTTTAGTATGGCTACCATGCAAGGATTAGAATTTTTTTTTCAAATCCTTAAAACATATTGAATATCATGATTGAATGCTCTTAAGTCTACGCTACAGGAAGGTTAAGATGAAATGTTTCACTTACATGATATTTCAACGTTGTTTTCTTCAGCGAGATGTGACCGTAATCCAATGGAACTCCTCTACCAACCCCTCAACAAGACAGGATACTCTATAGGATGTTTTAAAATTGTTTTGTGAAAACATTTATTTAAACACTTTTTTATCTTATTTACCTTCGAAGTCTATTTTCGTAATAGCTCCATTATTTTAAATATTACCGCAATATTATTTATTTCAAAATTTTAAAATTTCACGAGTATTAAAATTAAGGAAATTAACGTACAAATTAAACAGAATTTTTGTTTATTTTGATACATTCTGTTATGAAGATTCATTTTTGAAGTTTTGATTATGTATACAAGAGAAAAATTATTAACCATGATTGAATAAATTTACGCATTGCTGAAAAAAATACATGGATAAAAATGTTGTTGTTTTGTGTGTTTATGTATGAATGAGTGTGTGTGTGTGTGTGCGTTTGTGTGTGTGTGTTTGTGTTTATGTGTGTTTGTGTCTATGTATCTTTGTGTGTATGAGTGATTGTGTGCGTGCCTGTGTGTGTGTGTGTGCGTGTGTGTGTGTGTGTGTGTGTGCGTGCGTGTGTGTGTGTGTGTGTGTGTGTGTGTGTGTGTGTGTGTGTGTGTGTGTGTGTGTGTGTGTGTGTNGTGTGTGTGTGTGTGTGTGTGTGTGTGTGTGTGTGTGTGTGTGTGTGTGTGTGTGTGTGTGTGTGTGTGTGTGTGTGTGTGTGTGTGTGTGTGTGTGTGTGTGTGTGTTTGTGTGTGTGTGTGTGTGTGTGTGTGTGTGTGTGTGTGTGTGTGTGTGTGTGTGTGTGTGTGTGTGTGTGTGTGTGTGTGTGTGTGTGTGTGTGTGTGTGTGTGTGTGTGTGTGTGTGTGTAGATACGAGATTTAAAAAGGGGTTCAAATCAACCAAGAATTAAGTACAGCACCTTGCATTTTTATTTTTGCGCACATTTGTGCTTTCAGAGCCTCTGAATTGATTTGATAGGTCTAATGAGTTACAAAGATTTTTTTTCGAACAATTATTTGTAAATGGCAATGGCTTTATGATAAGCTCATCTCTGATAAATTATCATTCCTATATCGGTCATCTGGTAATAGATGCACTATACATTTTTTTTTTAAATTTTAAAATGCAACACTTTCTAGTGGCTCTTAAATTAAAATCCATTAATTCACCCCACACCAATAATTCAATAAATTAAAATCCAATATTCACCTCACACCAATAATTCAATAAATTAAAATAAATTAATTCATTCCTTACTAATAAATCAAAAAATTAAAATCCATTATCTTACCCAATTAAATGTTATAAAATCAACGTAAAGAAAGAAAAAAATATATATTAAAAAAATAATTTTAATGAAGCATTTCATTGTAAACATTGGTTACATTTTTCACGTTAGGCGTGAGTAAATGTAGAAGAACTGTCATGTGGGTAGATGTAGAAGAACTGTCATGTGGGTAGATGTAGAAGAACTGTCATGTGGGTAGATGTAGAAGAACTGTCATGTGGGTAGATGTAGAAGAACTGTCATGTGGGTAGATGTAGAAGAACTGTCATGTGGGTAGATGTAGAAGAACTGTCATGTGGGTAGATGTAGAAGAACTGTCATGTGGGTAGATGTAGAAGAACTGTCATGTGGGTAGATGTAGAAGAACTGTCATGTGGGTAGATGTAGAAGAACTGTCATGTGGGTAGATGTAGAAGAACTGTCATGTGGGTAGATGTAGAAGAACTGTCATGTGGGTAGATGTAGAAGAACTGTCATGTGGGTAGATGTAGAAGAACTGTCATGTGGGTAGATGTAGAAGAACTTTTGTGTGAGTAGATGTAGAAGAACTGTCATGTGGGTAGTTGTAGAAGAACTAACACGTGAGCAGATGTAATGAATTGACATGTTACTAAATGTTTAAAGTATACCAAGAAAAAAAATTGAAATGCCCCCCCCCACACACACACCCACCCCTCCCACCCGGAACAGCCAACGCCGCCTTTCTCCCTACGCCCGTGGGTGGTCTGGTCTTATCAAACGTCATGTTGGTCTGACATGGCTGAGAGCCACAGTTTGGAATGCATTGCAAATAGTGGACAAGTCGTGGGGATTGGGGCGGGGAGGGGGTAACGTAGTAACTCAATGAAGCCCCCCAGCCTTAATTCTCCTCTTTCTCCTCCAATACCACCCGACCCCCGCCCCGAAATAAATATTATGTATTTATTTCTCACCACAAAAAGCACGGGAACTTCGCTCCTGTGCACATCCTGCAGTTCTGGTGACTTGATTGTAAAAACAGTTAGCAGGTTTAAAACTTTATTTATGAAACAACCAAACCAGTTTGCCGAAGGAAAAAAAAGTTTTTACATCCTTAGTCCCCAAATGATCGTGTTCTGGAACATGGTTTGGGAATCGCTCGTCTTCGTCTCCTGGGTCAAATATAAATTGTGTGTTGGCTTTTAAATTGAACAAGACCATTGTTAAAATACGACTAAACCATACGCGTCGATTTCTTTGTTATTGTAATGGGACTTTTTTTAACAACACAAACGTGTAGGCAGCGTTGGATCACGATGACAAAAGCAACAGTTAGACGGAGTCTAGATATCGATACTTACAACAAAAGATTTGGCAAATTCGCTACTGGCTACCGTACATTTCTTCGAAAGCAACAAGTACGAAGTGACATTGTTTTGAAGTCAGCTCCAAAGTAAGTTTGTTTAATTGTTATGGCGGAGATTATTATTTATTTATTGTTCTGGTAAACATCTTTAAAAGAGAACGTGCTGGTACGAAATAGGGCTAGTGTAATTTTTGTTTTCCTTACTTCCGTTCGAACAACATTCCTTCGTACTAATTAGTTTCGTAATAATTTCCAGATACGACATTCATTTTTTTTTTTTTAAAGCAAAAAGTTTATTGAAATTTGGCCACCCTTCCTTCCCCCATCTGTCATCACGATTGGACACAGTTCCTATAAAAACACATTTTCAGCAGATGGAAGTAGGCCTTTCTTTGTGATCCTAAGTTTCATTTCCTCCACACCAGGCCGCGATATTTTATGAAAAGCTTGTGCGGGCCGAAAGTTAATAGGGCAGGGCTTGTGCGGGCCAAAAGTTAATAGGAAAGGGAGGAGAGCTATTAAGAATATAATAAGAATGAAGAATGTTTCGTTATTTCGCGGAGCAGCAAAGGGGGTGATGGCGGGCTACATGCGGCCCGCTGGCCGTATGTTGTGCAGGGCCTGCTCCACGCGGATCGATGGAGGTGATGTGGCTCAAACATGGACTTTAATTCAAACAGAACAATTCAAACAATAATAAATCCGCTCCTTGTTTCCATCATCTCTCAACCTAGGAATGACGTGGAGCACTTCTATTGTGGTAGTAATCAGGAATGTCATTCTTTTAATAACAAATTTTTATGTCGTATAAATCTGTTATAAAAAAAAAAAAAAGTTTGTAGATTGACATTATGACGGCCACAAAAACCTTTAAGATTTTATTTATTATCTACAACAACAAAAACATTCCAACAGTTTTTACAGTTTATTTATGAAAAAAGATTGCCAAGGTGGTCTAACCACGCCTATGAGTGCCAAGGTGGTGTAACTACACCTATGAGTGTCAAGGTGGTGTAACTACGCCAATGAGTGCCAAGGTGGTGTAACTACACCTATGAGTGCCAAGGTGATGTGACTACACCCATGAGTGTTAAGGTGGTGTGACTACACCTATGAGTGACAAGGTGGTGTGACTACACCCATGAGTGTTAAGGTGGTGTGACTACACCTATGAGTGACAAGGTGGTGTAACTACACCCATGAGTGTTAAGGTGGTGTGACTACACCTATGAGTGCCAAGGTGGTGTAACTACGCCCATGAGTGCCAAGGTGATCTGACAACGCCTATGATTGCCAGGCGCTCAAAAAATTATTTAGTATATTAAAAAAAAGTAGTGATACTCAGATAACGTGCCGCAAAAAATTAATTAAGTTTCTGTAGAAAGCTGGAGCAAACTTTGCGTTCGGTTAGATATAAAATGACATCAAAACTCCAGATGGCCGAGACAAGCGCCTGTGTTCTCGTCGCAGACCGTCCTGTGAGACCAACCGTTTACTCTTGTCTTGGGTTTCATTAGTAATTTTTGGTAAATCATTTTCTATTTCTCTGTCTGGTTGTAATACACGCTTATTGACACATTTTCTACTGCAGAAATGTAAATATTGACGTTAAATTTATTTGAGCATTCGCTTGAGGTTAAAGTTCAAGTTCTATTTACTGGCATGAAGCTTCATGTGACCATGCGATGGTAAGACTTAAAAGAATCAAAGAACTATGCAAAGTGAAACACTGAAACACATATTATTCTACAAGATGTATTTTATGCTGCTCAAATCTGGAGTTGCCGTCCGAATGTAGTTGTCAACCGCTTGTTTCTTTGTGTGATTATCATATGACATGTAGAGCATTTACTGTGTCTCGAAGTAATCAGATTGCGCATTGTTGTTTTCTATGTGTTTAATCTTATACTCGCTTGCACATCCATCACTCTAACACGCTGTCTCTAATAACCAGTAAGAAGTCAAACTTCACTAGATGCAAGCGGAACATGTGTATTACAAGTCATATTTCGGGGTATTCCACCACAGCGGAAGTGTTGAATATCACTCTTAATGCAAAATAAAATATGAATGTTATTACGAGATGAAATATGACTCTTATTATGAGATGAAATATGACGCTTATTAGAAGATGAAATATTACTCTTATTTCGAGATGAAATATGACTCTTATTACGAGATAAAAGCTGACTCTTATTACGAGATGAAATAAACTATCAAATAAGATTAAATCTACACTGCGTAAAAAAAGACTTAGAACATAAAAACAAAACATGGACTAACATAGATATTTGAAGAGATATCGTATTTTTTGGCGCAGATTACGCACTTTCTCTCCCTGAAAATAGGGCGCAAATGATGTGTTCGTGTTATACGCCGATATAATGTTAAGGACCCATGGTACATAGAGCATAGTGGCGCGATAGGTGCGTGTTATACGCCTGTGCGTATTTATACGCCATATACGCCATATACGCCAATAAATACGGTATTATTTCCAAAATACGACATATTATACTCAAATCAACTTGATCTTTACGACATATTATAGTCATATCAACTTGATCTTTACAACATATCGGTCATATCAACTTTGTCTTTACGTCATATCATAGTCAGATCTGCGTGATCTTTACGACATCTCATTCATATCAACTTGATCTTCATTGCTCTTGTTTATGATTTCATGAGAACACACCAAACGGTATGTCCTTACAGAGTTAAACGAGTAAGCAGCACATTAGGCTATTTAGCAATGTTTGACTGC